GGGCACCGGTGCGAGAGCCGGAACAGGGAGCGAAGGCGCAGCCATCGGCCGGGTCACCGCATCCATCTCCCCCTTGGCTGCTTCCAAAGGGCATTTCCAGAGCTGCTTCAGGGTGGTGAAGAGGATCCACAAACAGTCCTTCCCCCCTCTCCCCAACAACAACAAACTTACCCAACTCTCCTTCACAGCCGGCAGCGTAATTCAGCCGCGCGACGTTTGGAAAAGAAAGGTGAGGCCCTCCTCGGGACGGCCGCACACACCGAGCAGCGGCAGCCCTTGCTTGGAGCAATCCACGTCCTCAGACACAGCTGGCAGAGCGAGGACAGGGAACGAAGCACCAGGTAACCGGCTAATCCAGGCCCCCCCTTCTCCCAGCCACTGCTGTCCCATCTCCGAGAGACATCGTCACGGCGAGACGGTGAACAGAAGGCCTTCCCTCGCCGACCGCGAGCTGCTGAGGAGCTGCAAGGGCCGCGGGGCGAGACGGGGCGATCAGCGGGCTGTGCCCTGCCCTTCGCGATGGGCTCCCCAGCCCCGCGCCGAGCCCCGCGCCAAAGCTGCCACAGACAACAGCGAGTTTCAGACTCACGTAACACAGCTTTACAACTCGGACAACCTCCCCATCGGCGTTTCTAGGAAGAAGAGGCATAGAAAAAAACCCCACCGTACGATATAACTGCCCAAAAGGCCAAGTACGTGTATATAGCGAATAAACTACAAAATACCTGCAGGCACAGGTGAGAAGGACCAACTGCCTGCTATAAAGCTAATGACAAAAGGCCTCGCTTTTATTTAGCCACAGGAGGGAAAGGGCACCTCGGTGAGGGCCCCGACACGACGCAGAAGTGCTGCCTGGCAGAATCAGCCCTCTCAAGCTTTTTTAAAAAATAGTCAGGTCTCGAAATTGGCTCAAGTTGGCCTTTTTTTCCTCTTTAAGCTTTTAGATTACTCGGTCATGCTTACAAGGTTCTTGCTGCATGATTAAGGGCTCGAAATTCACATTTTCTCAAAGCAAAACCAGAGGGTTTAATTTTGTGGTTTCTGGGCAGCCCAAAGCATCATAAAACGCCTTGTAGTTACGAAGGGAAAGCGTTGAGGCGGCAGCTGCCCGTGGGCTTCGACTTCGTGGTGCTCCGGGACTGACAGCCCAAAGATGCTGTAACTGCCCTGAGAGGGTGCCAAGTTCAGGCCCACGTAATGATTTACTTAGCAACTCTTCCTAATTACACAGCACAGTTGCGACTGGATAGTACGCTTTGTTTAAATGTCAGTAACTTATGCAGATGATGGCATTTAAAAAGCCTTCGGTGAGGGCTGTCCAACACAAGCAAACTCCAGAAAGCACCAACGCCGCGTGTGCACTCAGCCGCCTCCCAGAGCTGGCCTTATTTCTTCATTTTCGCAGGAAAAAAAGTCTCATCTTCCCCCCCCCCCCCAAGGCTGAGGAGGCGCGGAGGAGCCCGCTGCACCCAGCCAGCCCCCGGCTGGCCGGGGGGTGACCTCTAGTGGCCCAGCACTGCTTGCCTCCCTTCCCAGTCTGCACCAGTTCACACCGCTTCCCTTCCCAGTCCGCACCAGCTCACGTCTTCCTATTCTACTTTTTCACGTTACCTCCTGGAGTTCAATCCGCTTTCCGTAACACGGTGCTGAGCACTCGATGTTGCAGCCCCAAACCCTGCCGGGACGGGTCTGTGGTGACTACTGAGAGAAATGGTAAAAAGCAGCAAAACGGTGAAAAGCAGTGCCGTGGCTGCTGCCTGCAAGCGTTTGGGAACAGGAAAGAGTAATTATTTGAGAAGTAAGGTCATTTTGCACTTTGCAGCCCGGTATCGCAGACAAGAGTTACCCAATAATTGCCTTGAATTCAGGGTGGCAGAAATACAGCTATTTAACAGCAGGGACACGGAAGGGCGATGTGGGACCCAAGTGCAGTCCCTGCGAGGGGCAGATGACACTTCAGAACTGGCAAAACAGGTAAATTTGCATGGCCACATAGTTCTAAGATAGGAGGTGCTGCCACAGAAATGACCAAAAACCCCACGAGTAACACCAAAGGATTTTGCAGGGCGATGTTTGTCTCCATTTCTTCTCCAGACCTTACAGGTCAGAAAAGTTCGGGCACTGCAAATAATGAAGACAAACTTAACACAACTCCTCTCTCCTTCAACAAATTGTATTATTTGATGGGATGCTCCTTCGCTAGACACATATTTATAAAAGACGGATTTTGCTGGTGCACACAAAGCATGGCAAGCTGGTTGTTTCTGAAGGAAATTTCTGGAAGAACGCCAAGCTGGACAAGGCATCTTAAAGTGACGATGGTTTAGTGAAAAGACCGGAGGGCAGGAGAAAGAAAACACGATGCTCAAGATTTCCCTACTGTGCAGCTGACAACCAGTCACACAAGTCTGCGGGCCTTAATACTTGAAGGCTTCTACTTGGTGTCATAGAGCAGGCTGAACAAAGCTAAAAAAACCCGAAAAACAGCAGAGTGCATGGATTAAGACCACTGAAGTGAGCAAATGCTGTTTCAGCCCTCATAAAACCCACACCCAACAGAGTCCATCGTCTCATTTTTCCTTTGGTTAACTGAAGAAGCAATCCCCCTGAAGAGAGCGGGCACTCCTGCTGCAGACAGGTCTCCACGGCCTGTCGGACATTCAACAAAAAGTTACGCTCACTTTACATTTTTCACTAACCAAGAGTACAGAGATCAGAAAAACCTCTTGAAACAATCTCGCTTTGATCGTCCACGTTTCTTTTCTCATCAGGCAGGCCTGCAAGCAAGCGTGATGTTAACCTAAGAGCGTCTGGCTGCATTAGCATCATCCACGACAGGGCAGGAGGACGCCTGTTCAGCCGATCAGAAACAAACCCTCTTTAGGCACAACCAACCAACCACGCCTCCAGCCCAGGGAAAGACAACTCTGCCTCCTGAATTTGCCTGGAGTGGTAATGGTACCAAAAGGGGAGAGGAGATGGTCACTCCTTTATGAAATAAAATCAGAGGCACAAGTGTCCAAACCCACAAGTGTTAACAACCTGAGATCAAAGCGATTTCAAAGAAGCCGAATTACACCACGTTCCTCACAATCAGAGCTCTAATCACCAAGCGATCTAGAGACTTTTCCAACAAACCGAAACGGGAGGACTTTGAAAACAAAGCAGAATTTCCCAAATGTTAGGTCACTTAAGTACAGGCAGGTATGCTCTAAACACGTTCACTATGTTTACTTCGTTACCTATTCCAAGCTTAAACTAAAACGCTTAAGCTAAACTGTTTGTCCAGCTTAAATAATGAACATCAGCTACGATGCAAAGAAGTGTTTTTATTGCAAGCACAGTGAGCGGGGAGCAGATTGCATCTCACACGAGTGTGAGGGAGGGTGGATTTAAACCACCCACCCTTCTGGTTTTAGTGCTCATTGCTGTCAGGTGTACATCATTTCTGCCATGTGAGACATTTTCTTCGGGATATACAGGTAGTATTCCATGTATCCCGAAAGATCTTCAATAGTCACGTCATCCACAAAGGCCCTGGCTTGCTCAGAGCAAGAGCGTGGAGAACTTGAGGGAGTTCTTGAGGGCAAAGACTGGGAGTGATCCTCAGAAACTGTTCTTCTATCAGGTGCCAACGGGAGGGTGTTCTGCAAGCCAGAGAATTTGTACACTTCCATATCTTGCCATCGTTTGCACTGACAGGCTTTACCTGCGCACGCACACGGCTTATTCATGTTCAGCCTGGACATAGACTGGAAGTCAGAAAGCTCCGTAGTCTTTAGGCTTGCTTTGGATACCGGAGAAACGGCAGCTGGAGAGTTCTCCTGCCTGTTCTCCGACGCCGACCGTGCAACAGAAGCTCCCAAAGCCTCAGCGCCAGCTCCCTTCTGGCCAACGTCAGGAGCAATACTGCATCGTTCGTGTGCACCAGCTTCCTTTGGGACTGGCATCCCAAACCCACTGCTGTCGTCCTGGGCATCGATCGGGCTCTTGTGCACTAGCTGGTTGCACGTGGAATGTGATTTTGTGCTGCAGTGGATAAACTTTGGAGGATGCAGAATTGGAGACTTGGAACGCCTGCGACGCTGGGTTCTCACAACTCCTCTTGAAGGCTTCTTCATAGACCTACCCAGGAAAGACACAAAAGGGAGTGAAGATTCACTAAAAGACTTGGTGCTGGGTTACAAGAACATTGGGCAAAATCTCTACTGCGCTTATATTGCATGCAAGAGCTTGAAGCTCAGAGTATTTGCTCAGGGCATTCTGCTATCTTGGAATTTGACTTTGTTCTAGTCAAGCAGCTGTATAAAATATACAAGGAACACTTGAGAAATGAAACCAGAAGTATGTGCTTTTAAGGTTAGAAAATGAGCAAAGCATGTGAGACATGACAAACTAACCCCTAAGAGAAGGACAGAGCACAAGACGACAGCACAAAACCAATGAACCAGGGGCAAAGGGCAGTTTTGTTTCAGTAGGAGATGAGCCTGAAGTTCTGCGTAGACACTCCAGAAACCAATTCTTTATTTTAACCTGGTTCCCAAGGCACAGTGACAGCTTCTGCAATGTCAGACGACGACTGAAAGAGTTGCATTCATGATTGCCTGATTCAAAACCAGCAGTTCACATTTATATTAAGAAACATCTATAATGTTTAGCAACCTATGGCTGAACAGCACTTCCTTTCACTTCCCATAATTGTAAATAAGAATAGTAGTCACATATGAACAGAAAAAGGTGGTGTAGAGTAACAGCCCTTTAATAAAGAAAACTTGGGTCCCTTGTTTAGGGGCGTAGTTACTAGCGTTAGGGGCGTAGTTACTAGAAACCTTGTCTGTTTAAAATTCCCTTTCGACGCAGTATCATTTGAAGCAGTCTGATAATCCCAAGCTTCTCTTACCCATGCCAGGTTTCCTTAGAAGTACCCACATTCTTAGGTTTGGCTTCATCTGCCGCTGTTCTAACTAATGCTCTTGGACTTGTCCCTTCACCCACAGAGAGGGAAGCGGTAGATCTGTGAAAGACAGAACGAAAAGTTAACAGCCTAGAAAAAATTTATCCATCTTCTTTCCCCGGAAAGATTGCTCCAAATCATTTCCAAAACGTCTTAAAAGACCCGCCCACAAAGAAGACCCAAATCAGAAAGACAGGAATGTGTAAACTATCTCCAAAGTTTGTGTAACAGACTCTTCACCAGCCACGATGCCATTCAGCAACTGGACTGCAAATCCGAGCTCCACATGTCAATGATGAAGCACACACAATGGCTAAATTTCGGTTTCCCGGGAGAGGAGAGGGGAAAATCACCATCACTGAATAAACACGTCTCTTTTTCCAGAGACAAATAAGCTATTCTTTCCTAAAAATAAATGTTCTTTGGACACAAATAGACTTTGTTTAACTGAGGAACACTTAAGCCTCTGTGTAGGACAACATAAGCTAGAACTCTTCATACTACTGCAAGTTCAGATCTTCAACTTCTATTCAAGCCAGGGACCTTAGAAGATTTACTAAATTTTCTGGTGCTATAAATTAGTCCCAAACTCTCATTTCCAAGGAGCTGTAATAATCCCAAGAACAATTTTTCCAAGTTGTGACTTCGCATATTACACTGGAATTCACAAGGAAATTATTTTCCAAATCCTCTGTTAAATTAGTTTGTAAGCAGGGCGGATTCCCTGGAAAGTGAAAATAAGCCCCCCCACGCCGATCTAGGATAGGGTTAACTGATATTTGCCAGAGTCCAAACTATTAGTCAAACATCTGTTATCCTCCATTTAAAGGACAATGAACACAGAGCAGAAAATTGAAGGCCAACAGTAAAAACTCCAAAGTAATTAAGTACGCCTGACTGGGGGGTGGGACTAGAGATACTGAAGAAATGAGAGGCATTTGCCTGGTGATTCATTTCTAACGAGTTTAATTACTTAAAGGAAAGATAACTTTAGAAGCCCATC